AATTGGTCATTTTGTACGTACAACGACCTGTTAACATTGTTTATACCATACCTTGAGAGGGACTTAGTCCTGGTTTATTTTATTGGGTAGGGACATTGTCCATGGACAGTATAAGGATGTTTGAGGTCACGGTCAGATAAATCAGACACCGAACTTTATTTAGCATACACACTGAATAATGGAAATAAGCGAAAGCTAACAGTAATCACGCCATGCAGCGATAAATCATATAAGTCACACTTTAACAAAATCCATCGTGTAATTTAAGGTGTACAAAAGGAAGTAGGGAAGAAGAATAGGTCGATTTTAAATCACTTCTACAAAAAGTAATACAAAAAAGAACTAAACCGTATATAGTTTGTAAAGAGCATGAAGAAAGGTAGCTTATACATAAAGGTATATGACGTCAACATTTTAATGTTCCAAAACAGTACGATGAATGGCTTGTGCAAGTGTAATAGTTATCACTCAATGATAGAATTAATCACTACGAAAGTTTGAATGAAATAATGAAAAATAGAATGCAGCTTCATGCAAAGCTAAGATATCATAAAGCAAGATGGAATCAAGCATAATGCAAGTTTAAATATTATAAAGCAAGATGGAATCGAGCATAATTCAAGTTCCAATGTCACAAAGCAAGATGGAATCAAGCATAATGTAAGTCCAATGTCATCAAGCAAAATAGAATACTAGTAAATGCATTAATTCTGTTCCATACATTTGGTTACATCTACTTACAGCAAAGTTTATAAAACCATGTACTTCATAGTTATATAAATCATTTAGTATAGGTTAGTGTTTAATAATACATATTAACAAAAATAATTGGTCAAGCCTGCCGCCGGCAGGCGACCAATTATTTTTGTTAATGTGTATTATTAAACATTAACCTATTTAATGATCAACATTATTTTTTGCAACCAAAAACAAGACATTTCTCTAAATCACCGATAGCTCCGCCCTTTCGCTCTACAAGATGTCTACACCTTGTCAAGTTTTTAACATTTGATAAGCTAAATAAATGGCCCTTTCAACATATAATTAGGCACATGTTTTACTGAAATGTCACAGAATTTATACCTTTATCTACAGTACCTCTATCATGTTTCTATAAAATATCTGAAAAAAAATCTGAGAAAAATTATGGAACGCCTGGACTGTCTTATGTGTAGAATGACTGATATACATGGTTAAATGTCTGTTGAGTCCGAGATACAATATGCTGGGTCAAAATCCCAATATACTGGGTGGAAATCCAAATCCGCTCAGTTATTGAAGTGTAATGTTGTGTGCTGATTACATTTTATTCAGTCAAGTCAATTTATTGTCGGGTGCATTAGTCGTTATGTTCAGTTCTTAAAACAAACAGGCATGTGGTAATACAATTATGTTGAATTAAAAAGATATGTTGTAGGGTGTGACAGTTGTTATGTTCGGTTAAAATAGCTCTTCTCGTCATGTTCAACCATGAAAATAAACTGTTGAGTGGTACTATCATTTCGTTTAGCTGAGGCAGTGTATTATTGGGTGATACTTTTATTATTTTCAGTTGCAATGACATGCAGTTGGGTGCTTTATTCAGACTGTTCAGTCGTAAATAGAACTGTTGAATAGTACTATCATTATGTTTAGTTCAGATGATGTACTGTTCGGTGCAGAGGTCATTATGTTCAGTAGTGAACACAAAAAGTTGTGGGATACCGTCATTTTGTTCAGTTCAGATGATATACTGTTCGGTGCAGAGGTCATTATGTTCAGTTCAGATGATAAACTGTTCGGTGCAGAAGTCATTATGTTCAGTTCAGATGATGTACTGTTCGGTGCAGAGGTCATTATGTTCAGTAGTGAACACAAACTGTTGTGTGATACCGTCATTATGTTCAGTTCAGATGATTTACTGTTCGGTGCAGAGGTCATTATGTTCAGTAGTAAACAATAACTGTTGTGTGATACCGTCATTATGTTCAGTTTAGATGATATATTGTTCGGTGCAGAGGTCATTATGTTCAGTAGTGAACACAAACTGTTGTGTGATACCGACATTATGTTCAGTTCAGATGATATACTGTTCGGTGCACAAGTCATTTGACAATGCGCTGAGTGGTCATACAATTATGTTGGGTTCATTCGGATATCTTCGCGTCAAACAAGATGGCGGGCGGGAGCAACTAATTTCCATAGGTCACGTCGAGGCTAATGACCACTAAATTGCCAAAACAATTTTCTTCCCGTAAATACCATCGGGAGCTTAAAAAACGTTATTTCCATAAATTGGACAGATTGTATGGCAATTTAATACCCAATGGGTATTTTATCAAGTTAATTTTATGACTATACTATACTGTTACAGTCATAATGGGCACAGTATATAAAACTTAAAATATGGGTAAGGGTAGCCTGTTCAAGTCACACATGACCACCGTAAATAAAACTTAAAATATATATGTTGGTAACTTTTTAGACTCACAAGTGGACACATCTTGAACGAAATTTAAAATATGAAACATAATATACAAGTAAGGCAAATCTATTTGAGTCACACATGGCCACAGTATATGGAACGTTAAATATAAGTATGGAAACCCCATTTGAGACACACATGACACAGTAAAATGGAACATTATATATAAGTAAGGGTAGCCTAATAAAGTCAAACATGGCCAAAGTATAAAGAAATTTCTATATAAGTAAGTGAAACCTAATGAGTCACACATGGCCACAATATATTAGACATAATGTTCAAGTCAGGGAAATGTATTTGAGTCTAATTTTATTAGGCTACCCTTACTTATATAAAAATGTTTCCATATACCTTTAGTCATGTGTGACTCAAATAGATTTCCCTTACTTAAACATAATTTTCCATATATTTTGGCCTAGTGTGACTTCAATTAGGTTTTCCTTACTTATATAGAATGTTCTTCATAATGTGGGTATGTGTGACTTTATTGCGCTACCCTTACTTATATTTAATGTTCCATATACTGTGGCCATGTGTGACTCAAATAGGTTTCCCTTATTTAAATATTATGTTCGATTTATTGTGGTTATGTGTGACTCAAATGGGTTACCAACACATATATTTTAAGTTGCATATGCTGTGGCCATATGTGACTTTAATAGGCTACCCTTACTTATATGCCCCATATACTGTGACCATGTGTGACTCAAATAGGGTTCCCTTACTTGAATATGATGTTTTATATTGCTGTGTCCATTTGTGACTCTTATAGGTTACCAAACAGATAAATTTTAAGTTTTATTTACGGTGGCCATGTGTGACTTTAACAGGATACCCTTACCCATATTTTAAGTTTAATATACTGTACCCATTATGACTGTAACATTATAGTATAGTCATGAATAAACTAAAGAAATACTCATTGGGTATTTAAAGGTCCAAATTATGAAAATAACGTTCTTAAGCCCCCGATGATATTTACAGGGAAGAAAATTGTTTTGACAATTTAGTTGTCATTAGCCTCGACGTGACCTATGGAAATTAGTCGCTCCCATCTTGTTGCCCGAAAATATCCGAATGAACCCAACATAATTGTGGTATCACACAACAGTTTGTGTTCACTATTGAACATCATGACCCCTGCACCGAACAGTATATCATCTGAACTGAACATAATGATAGTAACAAGAAACAGTCATTTTTAATAACTGAATATAACGACCTTTTCACCGAACAACACATTGACTTAACTGAAGAAGATATAACCAAGATAATGATATTACCATTTAATTTAACAGTTCTATCGCACGACTGAACAGAATGAATTAAACACCCAAGAGCATGTCATTTCAACTGAAAATAATGAAAGTATCACCCAATAATACAATGCCTCAGCTAAAAAAATGATAGTACCACTCAACTGTTTACTTTCATGGTTGAACATGATGAGAAGAGCACCAAGTAGCATATTATTATAACCGAACATAATAACTGTAACACCCTACAACATATCTTTATAACTCAACATAATTGTGTTACCACATGCCTGTTTGTTTTAAGAACTGAACATAACGACTTATGCACCTGACAATACATTGACTTGACTGAATAAAATACAGTCAGCACACAACATAGCACTTCAATAACTGAGCACATTAGGATTTTCACCCAGCATTTTGCATCTCGGACTCAACAGAAAGACATTTAACCAGGTATATCATTCATTCTTAAAATAAGACAGTCCAGGCGTTCCATAAAAAATACATTAGAGATTATTAATTGATACAAATTCGTTATTAGCTTAAAGTTATTCACTAACGTTTAAAATCCCTATTGATTTGCTCATTTGAAAAACAGTTGACCTTTTTCCTATCGACTGAAAGAAAATAATGTTTTGGTTACTTTTTGTTTAAAACAGTCAGCAATTTATAACAGACATTTTTCTTAGAGTTAAAAGGATATTAAAAAGTTACTATGTAATCATTAATCTCTGCGTGCCTTACATGTATCATCTATGTAATAAATTAATTGATTGTATCCTCACATTTAGAAACACCAGACCTCGCTTGATTTTTTTACGTTGGCATTGTTTTGCTTACCTAGATATTTTACAATTCAGAGTGCAAACCACACATCTAACTCCCCCCTAATTTTGCTTAATTAAAACCCCAGACACGGGGGGTTTGGGAAAGCTAAAAACCCCTTTTAAAATTAAAATTTAAATTTGGAATTTTTGTAAATCCCACCCACATGTCTGATGATATATATCAAAAAAAAAACCTTAAATTTTAGCCTTTTTTGAAATAAAAAATTTTTTCAACATCTATTTTAAATGACATGTGCTGGATTGACAATATGCATTTTATTTGGATTTTAAAGGCGTTTTGAGCTCTAAACCCCAAGTGTCTGTGATTGAAATTTGTTAGACTGGTTAGACGACAGATTAAGTAAATTTATTTAGTAAGTACACATTAACCAAAGTTAGACTTAGCAGAAATTTGAAAAATACTTAAATGTGATTGGACAAAAAATAATGTTGATCATTAAGTATCCCTGTATCCTGTCTACCGTCACGATCTGTTTTCTGCATGCTATTTAAAGGCGAACAGGTGCCTATCGGACGATTGCGTATATATGTCATCACTCGATAGTGACTGTTTCCGTTAATAAGGCGTTTTCTCAGGTAAGGACTGCTTCATTGTAACATTTTTGTCAGTTTTACTGTTAATTTATTTAATCTAGCCATTTTTGTCAAAGCTATAATGCTGAAATTTCAATAAGTCATCTTCCTTATTTACTTATTTACTTCATGTCATGTTTGTATTATTATTTTTTGTTTTGTTGATTGTTCACTCTTATGCCCTTAAGGGCCATGAGTTTTGTTTATAAATAAAATAAATAAAAAAAAGTTAGTTTGGTTTATGTGTTTGTCACGTGACGCACTGTTAACTATACCTTTTCACTATACAAGTCAGTTCGTTTGTATGTTAACTCGAATTCGTTTATGTCTGTACCTATTGGTTAATTTGCTAAACATCTACATGTAATTTAATTTTATGTCTATATCAATCTTGTAACAACTCGCTATATGTGTTCTATGAATTATCATTTTTATGTGAAATATGCATGCTAATTGCCCAGTTTTGTTCCATTTGCATTTTCCCTTTTTTCAACCTGTCAATGTAAATATGTTTTATGGTTCAAGGGTATTATACTTTAGCCATTGTTAAATGTATGCTTAAGACCAAAGACTGAGTGTTGTTAACATAGATATAATTTAAAACGTTATGCTTAGTTCATGTTCAGCTAAAAAAAGTATTAAACAAGTTAAGTCGTACGCCTACAGAAGGTAAAATGTAAAAAAAAATATGAAATTTAGGTAAATAGTAATACAGTACTTGTTAGGTTTTGTGTGTAAATCTACCATAACTGAGTTCTTAATTTATTAAAAAAGTTGACAAAATCCCCAGTTAAACATGTTTACAACAGCCAATATAAAGAAAAAAAGGAAACGTAATTACTCAAAATAGTCATGTGTCACATTTGTGGTTTGGAAACAAATCCGGGATCAGGTAGATATGATAATGACCTTCGTGATTTATTTCAGAATACTAGTTATATATTAATTTGATGTAGTTAACTAATTATAACTTCTTAAGGCCACACGTTATAACAAATATCTAAACAATGTCTGTATAATTGCCCTAAGATTTCTTTTGCCTACAGTTTTTATTATTGTTTGAAGATTTCTTTTCCATACAGCTTTATTTATTTTCAATAAAAAAAATAAATAGGAAATATGAGATAAGAAAGATTGTTTTGTTTAAATAATTTTGTAGTCAGTACCTTTTTAAAATTACAATAGAATTGCGTCGTTTCATACAATAATTAAACATAGTAGCCTACATTTTCCGAGTCACTTTGCAAGCTTGTTAATGCTTTACTTTAAATTTTTTAATCACCTGTTTTATTCACGATGAATTAAGTTAACGATGAAGTTTATACGCTTTCTGCATAACTATTTCTGTATCTGTTTAATATTTAAATTTCACAATGAGTTATGTAATGTTCCTAGCCTGTGGGCTCTTTCAATGTACATTTCACTAGTGCCCATATCTAGGTCATGCTCCATGAATCTCTACGCAATATCTCTGTTAGTCTGATTCAAATTTTCTGTGACGCCATAGTAAATGATATTATTTCTTCTACTTCTTGCATCTTGGTCAATTGAAAAATAGGACATTTCTTCATACTGATGTGTATTTTGGGCCGGAGGCCTTTATTTACTTAAATAAAGTTAAGTTGAGTTATTATTTCAAGTGGTTCGTTGTTAAGAAGGAAACGGAAATTACCCGGTTTATTCGATCCAAATATAATTAGTTTAGTTTTACTTTTATTTATTGTAAGTTTCCATTTAGAGCAATATTCGTAAAAGTCGTTCGATAATTTTTGTAATGATTCAGGACTATCATTTACAATTATAGTATCACCAGCATATAGTAACATAAATAGTTTAAGATAAAGGTCTGCTTGAATATTATGTTGTTTAATTATAATGCCAGCATTGGTTAAATTCTAGGTCGTTAAGATAAATAGAGAATAACGCTGGTGACAAATTTCCCCCTTGGCGTACCCCACAGTTACTTAAAAAAAATTGAGATGTAATATCGTTTACAGAAATACATGATTTAATACCTGAATACATGTTTAAAATAATGTTATGAAATTTTCCATCGATCCCATTCTTAATTAATTTGCCCCAAAGGTCAGTCCTCCATATTTTATCAAAGGCTAAAGAAAAATTCATGAATGCGCAAACAATTTCTTTTTCTGAGAATTTAAAACATCTATTAAAATTTTAAGGGCAACAAATTGATCTGTTGTTGAGTAATTTGACCTGAAACCAGCTTGGTTCTCTTTTAATATATCATTTCTCTCTAAAAAGGTAGACATTCCCTCATTAAGTATAGCAGTGACGATTTTACCTAAACAGCTTAAAATAGTTATGGGCCTAAAATTTTCTGGGTTTAAAGGTGATCCTTTCTTTTTATAGGTAGGTTTAATGGTCCCAATAAGCCAGGTATCGGGTATAATTCCCGAGTTAAAGATCGTGTTAAAAAATAAACAATATATTGGAAGCATTAAGTGTTTTGTACATTTGATATATTCATTGATAATATCATCTTGGGGGGATGATGCCTTTGAGTTCTTACATTTATTTATAACCTTATTTATTTCTACGATAGTGATTGGGCAGTTTAAACATTCGGTATCATATCGGCACTTTGGTCTGGATTTGAATGAGTTTATAGTGCACTTATAATGTTTAATGTTTATTGTCCCCCGCCTTTTCGAAGAAAAAAGGGGGATATAGAAATGGGCTCCGTCCGTCTGTCCGTCTGTCCGTCCGTCTGTCCGTCTGTCCGTCCGTCACACTTTCGTGTCCGGTCCATAACTTTGTCATTTATGAAAGGAATTTGAAATAACTTGGCACAAATGTTTATTATAATAAGACGATGTGTCATGCGCAACAACCAGACCCCTACCTCCAGGGTCAAGGTCACACTTGCTCATTCAAGGTCAAAATTGCCTATTTGAGGGTATATGTCGTGTCCGGTCCATAACTTTCTTATCTATGAAGGGATTTTGTAAATACTTGCCATAATTGTTCACAATAATCAGACGATGTGTCATGCGCAAAAACCAGTCACCTACCTTCAAGGTCAAGGTCACACTTGGAGGTCAAATATTAACATAGTCTGTTACAGGGTATATTTCGTGTCCGGTCCATAACTTTCTTATCTATGAAGGGTTTTTGTAAATACTTGCCATAATTGTTCATAATAATCAGACGATGTGTCATGCGCAAAAACCAGTTGCCTACCTTCAACGTCAAGGTCACACTTGGAGGTCAAATATTAACATAGTCTGTTACAGGGTATATTTCGTGTCCGGTCCATAACTTTGTCATTTATCAAAGGAATTTGAGATAACTTGGCACAAATGTTTGTTATAATAGACGATGTGTCATGCGCAACAACCAGACCCGTACCTTCAGGGTCAAGGTCGTACTTGTTCATTCAAGGTCAACATTGTCTATTTGAGGGTATATGTCGTGTCCAGTCCATAATTTTCTTATCTATGAAGGACTTTTGTAAATACTTGCCATAATTGTTAACAATAATCAGATGATGTGTCATGCGCAAAAACCGGTCACCTACCTCCAAGTCAAGGTCACACTTGGAGGTCAAATACTTACATAGTCTGTTACAGGGTATATTTTGTGTCGGGTCTATAATTTTTTCATAGATCAAAGGATTGTGAAAATACTTCGCACAAATAGTCACTATAATAAGAGGATGTGTCATGCGCAACACCTGCATCCCTACCTCCAAGGTCAAGGTCACACTTAGAGGTCAAAAATTAACATAGTCTATTATAGGGTATATTTTGTGTTGAATCTAGAACTTCTTCATAGTTCAAGGGATTTTGAAATAACTTGGCACAAATAGTCACAATAATAAGACGTTATGTCATGCACAACACCTGCTCCCCTACCTCCAAGGTCAAGTTCACACTTAGAGGTCAAAGCTTAACATGATAGATTTTTAAATTCTGTGTTTCATTTTTTTTTTTAACAAATTTATTGTTACATTTGCAGATCTAGCATTGATCATAATTTTGGACTGAATGTCCTGAGATCCATACCTCAATCTTTTGAAATAGCACAATTTTATGCTTCATATAAAACTCCCGGGGCGGGGGACGTTGGTAACTCTGTTACAAATTCTTGTTTAGGTAACATTTGCTACGGTTATAATTTTTTCGTATAATATGATACACTAGTAATCGACGAGCTTTACTACATGAAGGCCCGTACCAGGGTTTATCATTTGTTTGTTTTGAATGAGTATTTTTTGAAAGTAGCGAAAGCAGAATCCATAAATAAATCAGAAATGTTTTTTAGCCACGATGGTGAAAATGCAATGGTACGATGATGAAAACGCAATGGTACGATGGTGAAAACGCAATGGCACGATGGTGAAAACGCGATGGTACGATGATAAAAACACGATGGCGCGATGGGACGATGGTGAAAACGCGATGGTACGATGGTGAAAACGCGATGTAACATCGCGTTTTCACAATCGTAATATTGCACCATCGCGATTTCATCATCGCACGTACCATTGCGTGTTCATCATCGTACCATCGTGTTTTCACCATCGTACCATCGTGTCATCGCGTTTTCACCATCGTACCATCGTACATCGCGGAAACATACTAAATAAAAAAACGGAACACCGTAATAAGCTGTTACTTCTTTTGTTTTGCGCAGTAGTGTGCGTAGCCTTTGAACACCTAACGTCATTTTCTTTATGTGGGTCTGTTTACCATGCCTAAATTAATATATTTATCGTGCTTTAAAATTGTTGTTGTTATTGTTTTTACGTGAATATGCTGTACATGTATATGATCACCATATACTTGATATTTGGCATACAGCATTGGCATGTGGTCCCATATCGTGGAATTTTATTTCATCCACTTCCTGTTTCCCGACTGAGTAGGTAGAAAATTTTCCTAACAGTTTTCTCAAAAACTATTTATCACATCCTCTTAATATTTGACATACAGCATTGACATGTGGTCCCATACAGTAGGATTCGATATCAGGTCTGTCGCACATCCACCTCCTGTTTACTGATTTAGTTAAATTTTTCACATTAATGGTCAATGGTTAAATGTTTTTGTAACTTCACATCCTCATGAATGATATTTGGTATACAAACCATTTTAACCAGATAATAGATAATGATGCACTTATCAAAGTATATTAAACTTATTGTGTATAGTAACAGCCATAAACTATTTATGACATTATGTACATATATTAAAACCATGGATTACCTACTTCAGTGATCTATAGCCTTTTTCTAAAACTGTTGGACTAGTATAATGTTAGCTAGTGATAGGTTCCGATCATTCATTAAGTTATTCAGATTCAAGCTAATTTTCATGAAAATTTTGAAAATGTATGATTTGACATTTTACTTTCCTCAGAGCGTTATTACATTGTCTCATGTTTGATTTTCTTGAAATAGTTGATCTGGAGGTAAGCACCTTTAAGAATTAACAGAATTACAGACGGAGAATCTAATATTTGTGTATAAGTATTAATTCATACCTCCGTCATCTTCATAATGAATTATGAAAAGTAAAATAAATCATATATAATTTACATAAAACAGTAATACAATGTCTTCATGTGGTCATACCATACATTTGTACACATTAACTCAGCTATGTTGAAATCATTATTCGATGAAAGTTTAACACAACATTATTCATTTTGAAAATATAAACAAAAAATAAGCGAAGCATTAAACAATTCTTTCTCCGGTATAATAATTGATGTATGGTTATTTGTTATACATGTAGATATCCTGTTGTACATACAATGTACATTACAACTTAAAATTCCATCGTTACTTTTCTAGGAGTATTTGAAACACGTGTATATACAGCTATATTATTTGAACTGCACTCCAACGTATATTAAGTTTTATTGATATAAATATAAAAAAAAATTAATTGAGATATATTTTTCTACCATAAAAACCTAATGCATAATAATATACCTCATTTACGATAAATATAACCCTTTTGATAGTTTAAATTGAAAAAAAATGCATAGGGACGCTAAATTTCTTCAGGACGCTTTTTAGTGAGACCGGCCATTTCCTGATTCACTTTTGAATATCCGATTTTACGAAGGGGACTTCATTAATGGTTTAATTATTCTTGTATGTTGTATTACTTTTGCAGTTAAATAGAACATGATTGTTTGGAAATTACTTACCTGCACAGGTATTTTACAAAAGCCTTAAATTGCCGTACACTCCTGTGAAATATATTGATTACTCAAATTAAACACATTTTTCTGGTGTTTAGGAGACAGACACAGTGGCATTTATGCTTGTAAAATTTATTATTTCAGTACCTGCAAACTACTGAAAACTTCATATTGATGACACTTAATTAGTTGTGAAACCATAGCTGTTACAGACATACTTGGGCACAGCTCTGTAGGAGCACATTTGTCTCACGAAGTGTGACCGATGTGTTCGTAAACATTCATATTTGCGACAAATTGGAAATGAGACAGATGTGTTCGACACACAATAGAAAGGACACTCGAAGCACATTTGTCTCACATAAAATTCTTAAAAGGTAATAATTATGCCCATCTGTATACCGGCTACCAGCCATTGTTCTGTGATTTCTGTATTTATAATACCGTTTTTAGGTCACTTCAAGTTAGTCAAAAACTTCCTTAAAGAATATCCCTGTTCTGCATGTCATAATGAAAATTTCTACAAGTGCAGCATCCAATACCTAAACATATATGCAGCAAGTCTATTCTTATCGTTATTAATTGTGATACGTTTATATTAAATGCTTAAAGTTTTATAAAAATGATTTATGGCACTAGAAATATTCTTAGCAAAACAAGGTGGTATAAAGGGGACATAGAATTTTCTTATTAATTACGTGCGCACACGAAAGCTATTACGTGGCTACGCGATACTATTACGTGCGCACGCGATAGCTATTACATGCGCACGCGGATATGTATTCCGCATTTGGAACCTGACCGGGATCCTCGCATGAATAGTTCGACGCCCCGTGTATGTGTCGAACCTACAGCGGTTAGGGGCTTGTGGTTTTTTTGGAATCACTCGGCCACGGAGGCCCTTAAATGATCTATGGAAGAAAATAAGAAGACCATTACACACGTATTTTGTTTTCATCAGAAATATATGTAGAAAAAATAGTCATTTTCCAAGAATTGCGGCTTTCAGATCCGCCATTGAAAAAGCACTTACAACATACATGAGTTTCTAAAATAATCCGGGTGATGCCATAATTAAGGAATATCGAGCCACTCAGAATCGGGCGAGACGCGAATTTTCAATGAGACACGAAGCTAGGCACGATATTGTAACACGAGATCTCGCAATGTCGAAGGATCCCGTATCACGAGAAACTCAGAAATGAATAATTTTTTACTTCTTAAGATAGGGCAAGTATGAATTTATTAGTATTCAAATAATGATTTCTGAGGTAGTTAGATGCTTGTAACCCAAAGAAATTCGCGATAAATGTGAAATGATGTGATATAAAAGTAGCAAATTGTAAACATAGTAATTGACTTCAATACAAAATTCTTAATCACTTCAACTGTACAAACTGAAAAAAAGCAGCAGATGAAAAAATGATTCAGGTAATTAGCCAATGAATAACATTTTGGAGCTATAAAAGTATACCAAAAATAAAAAGCTTTAAATTTGTGGAAAACAAATAAAAGCCTTTCTCAGGCATAATGGGCCTTTAAGTGATTCTATGTAGACTATAAAGGAAATACTACTTAGCGGTATATGACATGGAATCAATTTCTTCTCACGTCGACGAACGAGATGCGAAGCGAAACGCGAGATTTCGGCGAGATGCGAAACGAGTTACGATATTTATCATTCAATATCAACCGATTACGGTGTTCTGTTTGGACATAAGTAACATTTTTGTCTCACTGAACAGCTATGCACAGCGGTACAAAGGTGAAATTGAGATGGTACGATGGTACGATGATTAAAACACGATGGCACGATGGTGAAATCACGATGATGCGATGTCACGATAGAGTAAAAAAGTATTGCGTTTTCATCATCATGCAATCGCAGTTTCATCATATCGTATCATCGTATTTGCACCAACGTAACATCGTCTTTCACCATAGTACCATCACGTTTTCATCATCGAGCCTTCGTTGTTTCACAATCGTACAATCGCTTTTTCACCATCGTACCGTTGTGTTTTCACCATCGCACCATCGCGTTTTCATCAACGTACCATCGTGCCGTCACGCTGTCACCATTGTACCATCGTGAACGGGATTTAGTATGTTTCAGTGTACGCCTTTAGGTTAAGCCAATCAATTTCTTGAATTAGAGATATTATAATTAATATTTACTTAAGGTTTTCATAAAGAAAGTATAAGCAAATCTATTGATGATTACACTTGACATGAGGTAATACGGCGAACCTCGATTCTAAAAAAGAATTTCTGCCGTGGGGAAATATGTGACAAATAATTCATAAAAATGGCATGAGACAAATGTGCTTTCTTGTCCCTTAAAAACACATGAGACAAATGTGCTTTCTTGTCCCTTAAAAAACTTGATCGGAGCACATTTGTCACACAAATGAGTTTTTTGGGGTAGATACTTGAGGTCCCATATGTCTTATGTGGGACAAATGCGACTGCATCGGTCTTACGTAAGACAAATGTGCTCCGAGACAAATGTGCTCCTACACAGCTCTCTATATAAACTCTATTTTATATGCAAGGTATTTCTGCCATGTGTGTCATTTTCATAAAAACAATATTCCACTTGCTATCCAACGAAAGATGTGTTCTTTGAAACTTCTTACATTATCATAACCTCTTTTACGTTCTTTTGAATATATAGCAAAGATGTTACAAAGGACCGCCATATATCTGCTGTTCCTGTCAACAGTATTTGCAGGTAGTTTTATCTTTTTGATTTGTTTCCAGTTTTTCAAATTTAAAGTAAAAAGTGAAATTTAAGCTGTCATTGATTCTGTCCGAAGGATATTGACAATATTATACTGTACATAATTACATATAAATGAATAACAAATAATTTAATATTGATAATTTTGAGATATTTCAAGAATTATTAATCTTTTTGCTCTGTACATCATTTTTCTGTCATAAATGCCTATGAAATATAATAATTAACAAAGTATTATTTAGCATAGTAAATATATATTGTCTATTTTGTATAGTATTCATGTGTAAACTACTATTGTTTCAGTTAATCGTCCACCAAAAATATACATGCAGCCGACAGACCGTGAAATATATTATAAACCTGGAGAATCAGTTGAGATATTGTGTATAGCTAATGGTATACCAAAACCAGAGTAAGTCCAAAATTATTTCTACAAACAGGCTAATTTGTTTATTTCTGCATTCTTTTTTACATTCAATGATTTATGAACAAAACATTGCTGTTTTGTGTCTGAAATTTTATTGATAAAACAGTATACTATGATAAATGTACTTGTAATAATATTTTATAGGGGATTATAAGTTGCTAAGTATTTCAATACAACCAGAAAGTTTGTCAAAAATGACCATCAAATAAATGTGTATTATATTGACACTTGGAGGTATATATGGAGACGTAACGGGGTGGTATATAATCCCAGTGGTCAAGGTGACCGTGTTGTCCAACTACCAAATCAAGGTACAATCGTGTTTAACAAGCCAGAAGATAAAGATGAAGGTATTTTCCAGTGTTTTGCTGACAATGGGTATGGAATATCTGCTTCAGTGAAGATCAACCTGAGAGAAGCTAAACTTAAAAAATTTGCAGATGAACCAAGTCAGGTATGAAGCTTAAAGAATTATGTACAAACCTCAAATTTATTTCACTGAAAAAATACAACAGTTGTTCTTTCATTCAAAGTTGTCAAACACCATTCAGGAGCATAGCTTTCAGAGAAATAAAAGGTCCATGGCAGTTGCTGTGACGCATTTATTGCACAAGGAATTGTTAGATATGGCTTCCAGTTGATTTTTGTGCCGTCATCTGTATGATTTATATTTTTTCTTAAAATATTTTTAAATATTTTATTGGAAACACCTAGAGACACAGAAGGCAACATATTTACACTTTCAGATCTTACATGTACTTTATACCATTCTATGCCAATTATGTAAACATACTTGTAAAGTGTGACATAGGGACACAGCTGTTGTCATATTTTGGTTAAAACAATACAAAATTTTCCCAATGATTAAGTTATTATTTTAAAGTAAGTATGTAACTCATTTTAATTTATTTTTCCAGACACATATAGTTTTTGCTGGGGAGGATCTAACTTTACCATGTTACCCGCCTCAGAGTTATCCACCTGCAGATGTATACTGGGTGATAAAAGAACCAGATGGTAGACGGCAAGATGTGAACTTTGATAAAAGAGTTAGCATGGATATTGAAGGTAAGTCTGCTGAATTTGTTCACAGAATAAAAATAGATTACAAATGAATGTTTATGGGTGACCAAAGTGAGTAGATTCTAGTGGAGTAACATAATGTAAGGTGGGGGGAGGGGTAAATGAAGTAAAACAAAGTGATATAGAGTCTAATGGAGTGTTTTGACTGGTATTTAGTAAAGTGGAGCATATTAAAGTCTAGTAATGTGGGGTGATGGGAGAACAGTAAAGTGATGTGTAGTGTAGTAGAGTGATGGGTGTAGTGTAGTAGAGTGATGTGTAGTGTAGTGTAAGAGTGATGTGTAGTGTAGTGTAGTTGAGTGATGTGGGGTGTAGAAGATTGTGATGGTGGGTGTAGATGAGGGATGATGTCAGGTGTAATGGAGTGATGTGGGATGTAATGAAGTGAATGAAATTTTAACTTATAAGAAAGAAATGTCATGGTTAAAACTAACTTAAAAGTCATATACATTTATGCAAGTGTTTTTTTAGTTTTGAAAGTTTATTGTAGAAATATTGAGAGGCAACATACAATTGAACATAGGAATCAGACTACTTGCCTTGAGTTATTTGACCTGGTCCAATACTTGTGACAGACCAGTCTTGTTGCAGCTAGCACTTGCAGAACAATAATTCTATATGCAACCACACTTTGTTTTTCAGGTAGGCTCCGATTTACAAATGTGTTGGGGTCTGATATGGTCGGGGGAAGAGCTTACTCCTGTATGGCAGTCAACTACTTCATGAGAGACAGTGCCATTGGTCCAGAACACGTTGTCACAGTATTTGGATGTACGTTATTATGCATAGATATTTTCTATAATAGATTATTCGACTGTTTGAGTATACAGCTTTAATTTGTTATATACAATGTACAATATTATTAGAAATGAATAATTGACCGATAATCATTTTTCATATACCCACAAAGTTTGTGAGTATGTGATTATTCATGAAAAGTGGTGAATATTTTATAAAAGGTTATTTACTGATGTGTAACATTTTAGTTCTTTACCCGCTGAATTTGTGTAATAATGTTTTGCCAAGCTTTAAATTTGTGACAAGCAGTTTAAAGGTTATCGGTACAATAATGGTTAAGTTTCACTACTCACATAAAATTGTTTAAATTTCAGCTACAGAACGGAAGCTGCCTGCTACAGAGTTGTGGACATCACCTCGTTACCAGTTTTTTCTTAAAGGTGGAACTCTAAGGCTCAAATGTATTTTTGCTGGGAAGTATGTATTACATCAAATTCACAGTGATTTATATTAGTATTTTACATAAATGATTGAAATGAAATCTTCTATGACTTATGATATTTTCTTCTCTATAACAGAATGATCAAATATGATAACATCTTCTGAAGCGGCCTGTTAGCTCGGCTATTGAAAGAAAAGGTAGAGCTATTCTACTCACCTTAGGGCATCAATGTCTGTGTCATTGTTGCTGTCACACTGGTTGAGTTTTGTGTGCAAGTTAGTAGTTGGGAATGGATTGAAACTTCACACACTAGTTATCTGTGATTATCTAACATCATGGGCAAAGTTCTTATAACTCTTGAGTTACCTATTCATCAAGTTATGCCCATTTTCCAGCTGTCTGAGTGTCTTGTCATGGACAGCTCTTCTTTTTTTGCTGAAGTTATATGAAATGTTAGTGGCAGCCTGCCAAGGAGCGATGCAAAACAACACCTCCTTTCCTTTTAATATTGAAAAGATGTTGTGTGTGAAACTGTAATTGTATTTGTTGTTGTTGTTTTTTGGCTTTTTGTGTAGATGAATGTTTTTGACGTTTCATACTTATGCATTAAACTTGTCTCAAACACTAGCACTATAATTTGCATGTAAATTTTTTTTATCCCAAACAATAAACTGTATAAGATAAACTTGTTCCACAGGCATATTTATAAACTGTATTAAGAGATTTTTTATCATAATTATATAATTATAGAGACAGATACGTGGTAATAGCATTTCAGAATTACAGGAAAAGATAATGATAATTTTCAATCTTTTATAGTCCCACACCGGAAGTACATTGGAAGAAACTTGAGGGGAAATTTCCAGATAGAGCAAAGTTTAAGAGTTTTGGACAAGAGTTACAAATCACTGACGTACGGGAGTCAGATGCTGGCCAGTATGAATGTATGGGTCTAAACAGCGAGTCAACACAAAGAGCAACTAAAGTCTTTGATGTCAGAATTAAAGGTAACTTTTTCTTTGTCTTTGTCTTAATTAAATTTACTGAGATAAAATAAGTCATCACTTCTGTATGGATGGATTTAATTTAACAATGTAGGTCTATGTAAAAGAAAATGAGGTAGTTGAATTCAAATTACTATGACTGTTGTTGGTTTGAATTGAGGCTACTGTATGTTTTTGGTTCTACTCTAGACAGTTTACTGATGCTTTTAATTTATGGTAATCCATATTTCAGTAAAGCATTTAGTCAGAGGATAATTGTTGTATACAATAACTTTGCCTGTGACTCTTGTACAAAGTAACAGTTAGCTTTCTAGCTGAGTGAAGTCAGCTTCAGTCTTCTGACAATGAATCGATTAAAGCTAATCCTATTTTGAAAACACAACTTTTTACAATGATTGCATAATGGAAAAATATTAATAGAGGATAGGAAGAATAAAAGAGCTCATATTCGTAATGTTATTTCAGCTGCACCTTTCTGGGTGGAAGAACCTCAAGATGTTGAAGCCAGTATTAATCAGACGGCAACATTTATATGTAAAGCTGATGGTGATCCTAAACCTAATTATGCCTGGTACATCAATGGCGTACCACTCGAAGATAGTATGTTCATTATGATAACTTATTCAATTCTTATTCATTGATGCAAGTAATCTATTTTATTTAATTGGAGTGGTGGACTGGTGATTATTTAAAGTAAGTGTCTGCCTCTCAACCTAGGGTTCATGGGTTCAAGCTCTACTTTGGCCACGGCAATGATTTCTCATGACAACAGTACTGGTTGTTACCAGGAAGCACACTTTAAAGTGATTAATATAAATTGCAAGAACTTGTTTCGCAATCAACCTGGAAATAAATATGTTTAAACTGAATTATTTTAATTCAAATTTATCTTCCTTTTATAAAAAATTGGTTTTTCCAATATTTCTTGGCGCTCAAAGTTTTTGGTCAATTTTTGTAGGACATATTATGTGTTCTCTATAGCAAAGCATCATTCCTTACGTAGTTAGGATATGATAGAATCTCTGTCATTTAAAGATCAATGCTTTATGCTGGATTCTTGGAATGGCTGAATGTGTTGTTAAAGGAAAAGATTGCTATACAACTTTCTTATCTGAACATGTTGATTCTTACAAATCAACATGTATGTTAAATAAGACTATAATAGTTGCTTAGTGATGTAAACACAAGACAATAATTGGCTATAGTGTTTAGAATAAGATCGAGTATGTTTTAAAGGAATTTTCTATCATGATAACAGGACAGAATAAGCCACGTATCTACAACAACCGATTCTATAAGAAAGATGCTAACAATATAACCCTGACAAATCTTACATTAGAGGATCACATGAATATTCAATGTAATGCCAGTAACCAACACGGATATATCTTTTCTGATGTCTACCTCAATGTTCTAGGTAAGTTAATATCACAAATATTCTACCTCAAGGTTCTTGTAAGTTCATATCACAAATATTTTATATTCAACCACAATTTGCTTGTAAAGGTTATATCACAAATGAAAATAAATATTCAATGATTTTATTTGAAATTAAAGGAAATTAAATCAAATTTGTTGCCTAACTGTTGTATACATCATCATATTTACTAATTCATAGGTTAAACATAGGTTTTGAAGAACACTTTAAATGTATAAATTAAATATTATATTCTAGAATGTTTAGCATGCTTCTGATGCTTTGTCCAATGATGTTTTTGGCCAGTTTCTTATTATGGAAATCATAGAAAAAATTCTTTAAGATAATATCAACTGATCCAGAGTGCTATATATATACTTGACATTTAAAGCAAAAACTAATTGCACTTTAGTTTTGTATGTGAAGTGCAGTGTTGTTTCGTCCAATACACTTTTTATGCTACCCGAAAAATTTCGGGGGAGCATATAGTCGCCGCCTTGTCCGTCCGTCAGTCTTTCCGTCCGTCCGTCCGTGCGCTTTTCTTGTCCGGAACATAACTTTAACGAGAGGTATCAACATGAAACTTTGTAGGTAGATAGATCGCATTGAGTAGGTGTGCAGTGCACAAGAACCGTAACTCTGCCTTGCCTAATTTTTGAATTATTCCCCTTTGTTTATTTTTACACTTTGAACTTTGTCCGGGACATAACTCTAAAAGTATAAGAGGTATCAACATGAAACTTTATAGGTAGATTAGATCTCATTGAGTAGGTGTGCAGTGCATAAGAACCGTAACTCTGCCTTGCCTAATTTTTTAATTATCCCCTTTTGTTTATTTTACACTTTGAACTTTGTGCAGGACATAATTCTAAAACTATAAGAGGTATCAACATGAAGCAGCTGTGTAGGTAGAAATATCTCATTTGGTAGGTGTGCAGTGTACAAGAACCGTAACTCTGCCTTGCCTAATTTTTGAATTATTCCCCTTTGTTTATTTTTACACTTTGAACTTTGTCCAGGACATAACTCTAAAACTATAAGTGGTATCAACATGAAACTTTATAGGTAGAAAGATATAATTGAGTAGGTGTGCAGTGCACAAGAGCCGTAACTCTGTCTTGCCTAATTTTTGAATTATTCCCCTTTGTCTATTTTACACTTTGAACTTTGTCCAGGACATAACTCTAAAACTATAAGAGGTATCAACATGAAACTTTGTAGGTAGATAGATCTCATTGAGTAGGTGTGCAGTGCACAAGAACCGTCACTCTGCCTTGCCTTATTTTTTAATTATTCCCCTTTTTCACACTTTGAACTTTGTGCAGGACATAACTCTAAAACTATAAGAGGTATCAACATGAAACTTTGTAGGTAGATAGATCTCATTAAGTAGGTTTGCAGTGCACAAGAACTGTAACACTGTCTTGCCTACTTTTGGAGTTATTGCCCTTTGTTCATTTTGACACTTTGAACTTTGTCCGGGACATAACTCTAAAATTATAAGAGATATCAACATGAAACTTTGTAGATAGATAGGTCTCATTGGGTAGAAGTGCAGTGCTTAAGAATCATTACTCTGCCTTACCTTATTTTGAAGTTATTGCCCTTAGTTTATTTTTACTTTTTGATTTTTTGTCCAGGACATAACTTTAAAACTATTAGAGATATCAACATGAAACTTTGTAGGTAGCTAGACATCATTGGATAGAGCTGCAATGCTTAAATAACATAAACAAAGCCTGTTATAATTTTGGAGTTATTGCCCTTTGTTCATTTTCTCACTTTGAATTTTACTCGGGACATAGCTCTGAAACTATAGGAGATATCATCAGGAAACTTTATAGATAGATAGATCTCATTGAATAGAAGTGCAGTGCAAAAAAAAACATAACTCCGCCTTGCCTAATTTTGGAGTTTTTGCCCTTTGTTCATTTTTTATACTTTCCTGTGTCCAGAACCTTCTCGGGGAGCATCACCCGGTTCAACCGGTTCTTGTGATTTATAGTGGGTCTTAATATTCTTCTCATTGTGTTTCAACAATTTGTTTAACGAACTAAGGGAGAAGATAACGTTTGTTGACGTTAATTACAATATTAATATTACCAAGAACATAAAAGCTTAAATATATGGACTTTATATTTCAAATAAATAGGAATTAAAATTTGTGACTTATGGGCCACATTTTTGACATATTTAAAAAAGTATCTGAATATTATAACTGCCAAATTTTAAAAGGGGGACTGGGTTTCCGAAACTTTTTATAAAACAGTTTTATTATTTCTAGAGTAATATTTTTTAAAAGGAATATGTATTTACGAAAATCTGGATGTTTAAAATTTGTTTTGTTTTTAATTTATTGATAAACAACACTTACGCACGTGTAAAAGTATTTACCCACCGATCAATCAGATTCGTCTGAAACCTAAAATGTCATTTAATTATATCCAAGAAACGTTCTTTCAAGCGGGTACTTGTTATTATCATAAATACAATAAGGGAATAAAATCATTTGGGTTTTTTTTAGCGCATTTTAGTCAAAATCTTTTTTAAAACAAAGGTTTTAAATTTTTATTTTGACTTAACGAAAAAAAAACCCCCCCAAAAAAATGTTTAAAAGGGGTTTTGGGGTCCTGAGGAAAATTTCCCAGAAAGACATTTTATTATAAACATGTATTTATTTAAATTCTAGTTATATTTAATCTTTACAATGGAATATGTATGACTACCGACAAGAAAATCGGATGTATTAACATTTTTGTTTTGTTTTAAATTTCACTTTGATTATCAACACCCCTGTCACGCACGTGGTTAAATGTATTTACAAAACCAGATCTATTCTAGATTCGTTCTGAAAACCACTAAAAAATAAGGATCATATTCAATGTATATCCAACGTGTATGGCGTTGCCTTTCAAGCGGTTAAAATAATTGTCAACACTTTTAAACACAGACTGTAATTAAGTTTTTAATAAAGATATATCAGAACAATTATATTTATTGTTTTCAGATTGGGATATATCGAGTATGCAGATCCCTGACAAGAAAAAAATAAGGGTAGCATGACGGATTTCTTTAAATTAATGATAAAACTTTTTGGGTCAACATAGAAAATACATACCCGACATTAGAAACAATGAAAATAAATAAAGTGATAATTTTATTCTTTGTTCTGTTTTATTTTTTGATAACATCTTTAGCGCTGATACTTCATATATCAGCAATGTTGAATAAACTGCACGACGTAAACATGGTTAGTATACATGTATTATTTACAACAATCAAATCATTTTCCATTACAAAATTAATATTAAAAGTTTTATGAAGATTCTATTTCATTATTTGTTAACATCTTTTTGCTGATACTTCATACCAACAGCAGATGAATAAATTACACAACGTAAACCTGGTAAGTTACTGGAGGTCTTGTCTGGGCTGTCACTGATATTTCTTTTCTTGAACATGCTGAAAACAAAGAATAATAATTGATGATTAATAATCCTAATCAAATTGCTTGATTCCAATATCCATATATACATGTTCAAAAACCGTATATAACATTCATCTTTTCATTTCATAGAAAAGTGTAAAAATATGGAATGACGTAGTTTTTGTTGTTATACATGTTTTACTATCGATTGAAATTAAATAGGAGCCTCAGGTAGGAGTCAAATTTTCAAATAATACAATAAAAATCTGGAAACAAATTAAAGTAATATCCCACGATCTTTTTTTTAAGATTGAGGGATGACGTTATTTATGTTGTAAAACATATTTTCTATCTATTGAAATAAACACGGGAGATACGTATAAGATGCGTAGGGGTCAAGTTTCTAATTCATCTAAACAATATTAATTATTTTCTATTTCATAATATTTTTGCAGAAAAAAATAATGAGAACCAGAGATAAGCAAGGCAAAGACAACGTTCACAGGACATGTTTTCCGTCGGCTGTAATAAGGAGGGGATACAAATTAATTGCATGTAGAAGGAAAATTCTATCAACCAACTATCTTTTATTTCATCAAACATTGTAAAAATGATAGAACGCTGTTGTATTTTTGTAGAAAAATGTGGTTTCCGTTGACTAATAAATTCGGGAGATTGACAAGTAAAATTTCTAAACTGTATTAACCAACTGTCTTCTGTTTCATCATACAGTGTAAAAGTTTGGAGCGCTGTTATTTTTGTTGCCAGACATGAAATAAACATGAGGATGTAGTAAGAAATGTACAGTTAAAATTCAAAACTGTATAACAAAGAAATATCTTTTATATCAAAGAAAAAGCATCCCCAGTAACCAAGGCCGTATATCGGTATAGGTATTAAAATAAGTATTAAAGGATAACAATGTACCGTGGGTTCTGGCGATGGGAAAATAAAATCATCTTAAAATTATTTAAAAAAATGTAAGAATTGCGTATAAATTTCTTATTCTTCATGTTTGTCCGCGTAGAAAAAATCTTCCGCGATGATATCGCGGAAAAGGCAAACCTATAAAGTTACCTGTACCTAAGGTATGAATATATAGAGGATATTTGTTTGTTTGTGTGTAAGATGAAATTTTATTTCATCGAGTGGGCTTTAAAAACAGTATTCTCACGAGTGGCGAAGCCACGAGTGAGAATACTGTTTTTAAAGTTCACGAGATGAAATAAAATTACATCTTACACAACAAACAGACAAATTTTCTTTTTATTTTATGCTTAAAAACAAGTTAAAACGAAATTTCCATAATTTTAACGTTAATATTAAAACTGTTTCCCCCATTGAGAGCCCCATTTATTCGAAATTTCTCATTAAAAAAAAGAAGTCTTGAGCTGAAAAATAAGTCTGCCAATCAACATTAAATGACGGTGATATTTATTAATTTTATTAAAAAAATATGAATGATCGCTTGTTTTGATAATAAAAACAAACAATTCTTGTAGGTGAAAAAGTCCAACCATCCATCCATATTTCTGTTACTTAGTGCGAATTTATATTAGACCTGGCTTTGTAAATTGTAAGCGGCAGCCATTTTTTAAAGTTGTGTATTTCATGGGAGGAAAATAATTGTGTAAGATTCAGAGGGATATAATTTGGATTTGTTAGTCATACACATTTTTAAAAGAAAGAAAACTTATTTGAGGATTGTAACAGACAAAAAATAAGTGTTGACAGATGTGAAAACATTCAGAAAAGGAGCTAGGAAAATGGAAAACTTGGAAACCTGCTCAAGAACGCTGGGTTGATTTAACTTATTCTTCGAGTTATGGCTGTCAATGCTTTCAATTTTTCATAAAGCATACGGCAGTTATTGCTCGTAGGATACTTTAATATGCCCAAATATCATCAAGAGCAGTTTTGCATGGGGAAGGAATGTATTTTGAGACTGTCAAAATGAGACAAAAAAACAAAATTTGGTGATTGGAATTTCATGAATTTGAATGAATAGAAGTAAGTTTTCTTCTTTTTATTACTTTTGACATTTAAGTTATTTATCAATTTCAATTTTGCTTTTTCTTTAAACAGCCTGACATTGTCAGAATTGTCAGCAGAAATAAAATTGAGGTACCACATGGGGAAAATCTTAAAAAAGTAGTTTCGTCATTGAAAAGAGTGAAATTATATTTTGATAATTTTCACTGTGAAATTACCAAATATAATTTTCACGGATAAATCAGTAATCCACTGAAAAGCATAAAATAAAATATTTGTATGTGATAGTTTGTGATTATTATTGTTATTATTATGTACTCGTATTTATTTACTTGTCACGATTCAGAACTGTTCACTTAATAGGGGAGAAGATGTGTAAGCGGCATGATAGTTCAGTCGGTAGATCCGCGGAACGGTATTCCGAGGGTCCCGGGTTCAAGTTCCCGGTCCGGCTGCACATTTTTCTGACCCTATGACATTTGGTGCCCTACGGGGGGGCGTGACTGATATAGCTCAGAGTTTAATTTACATTGCTCTGTAACTCTGTGAAATTCGAGGACGAATTTCAATATAGCTGGGGAGTATGTCACGGTTCAGAACTGTTCACTATTCAGGGGAGAAGATGTGTAAGCGGCCTGATAGCTCAGTCAGTAGAGCCGCGGTACGGTATTCCGAGGGCCCCGGGTCTGAGTCCCGGTCAAGCTGTACATTTTTCTCACTCTGTGACATACTTAAAAAAAAAACAACAAAAACGTACTTACGTTAAAATGATTTATATGTTTCATAGGGCGTTGCATATTTAATATCATGTTATCATTACACTAACGTAATTTTCAAAATTTCTGATAAAAAATATTTTTTATTTGATATATATGAATAGCAAAGGAATAATAAAATGTCTAAACATGTTATTCTACGTTTTAATTTACTCATTAAAACTGATTTAAGAAGAAAAACAAAGAGCCGGAATTATTTACTCGCGCGTGTTAAAAATGTGCTTTTTACGTACCTCTTCCAGGGCCTCTCAAAATTACCCGTCTTGTTTCTAAATATAACTTTTATGGTGATACCGGAAATGAAGTTTATTATGGTACAAGATTCATCAGAATACGTAAACAAATAAATGAAATATGCCCCAAAAACACCGATTTTCGGCCGAGTTTATCACCCAAACCAGTAGAGTTAAATTGCTCAATTTCCTTTGTTTCTTGAATTTCAAAGATAACAATTTTATGTTGGTAGTTTTCAGAGGGATATTTTATACAGTATGCATATTCAATTTAACATATGACATCATCATATAAAGTGATCAGTTACAGATAAAATCAATCTATATCAAGAGAAAATCTAGCCACCAATGACTAGGTCTGCCAATAGCGTAAGGTCATGCTTAAGTAAAAATACTGAGTTCAGTATAAGGAGCATTTAATGTTGTCAGACAAGAGAAGAAAAACAGTTTTAAAAAAATGCTGTTTCACTTTTGATCAGTGTATTTCCCCCTAAAAGTTCCCCATTTCAATACACAAAGGTGAAATTGAAGAGCTGGTAGTAAAGGAATTTTAAGTACCTTTTAATCATGGGCATGCATTGTAACACCACAAAACGTCCGTACATTTTGCGGCAAAAAGGCATGGTCCTGCCGCATAACGTCCATATTTTAAAGTTTATATAATTTTCGTTAATTTTAACCAGTTATTGTCAGGTATTATTATGTGTTAATTTTACCTGAGTATGCGCCTATGGAATGCCGGTAGGGACATGCCAATTTGCTTATTTGCCAATTGCTGAATTGCTTATTTGCTAATTGCCGATTTGCTTATTTGCCAATGGCTGATAGTCTTAACGACAAATTTGCTTATTTGCCAATTGCTGAATTGCTAATTTGCTTATTTGTTAACCGCTGGATTACGTATTTGCTTATTTGCCAATTGCTAATTTGCTTTTTTGCAATAGAAATACTTTACACTGTGCCGGAAATATATGGAAAATCTGACTACAGACAACCAGTTGAGTCAGATCTGTTAACTTTTACTAACAGTATTCTTGTAAATTCAGTATTTTTTCCACGACTACTGTTGATCAATGAATTTAGTTGCAGTGATGCCTACGCAGATATATGTCTACAACTGATGGCTGACATTTCCTTGAGAACACAGACGCTTAGGGTCAGATCCCGTACCCCAACGTGATACGTGCCCCTGTAAGCACTCTTTTTAAAATATTTTAATATTAAAACACGAATTGGACATCGTTAAAACTGGTTTTCAAGCAATTTTTACATATACCGGTATGAAAAAATACCATATACCACCAAGTCTCAATAAAGTACTTAATGGTTTTATCGTTGTAACAAATGTCCAATTCGTATTTAAATAAATATTAAAATAGTTTTGATATAGTGTTTACAGACGCGTATCACGTTAGGGGCAGGATCTGACCCACCAGCATCTGTGCTTGAGAATGCCTTAATTATAATTTGTTGCAACTATAGATCTGTTTGTGCAGCTTAAGTCAGAGATTGATGGCATAATAAACACTTGGGTAAAGATTGAAAATAAAAGAACTTGAAAACAAAAACTATTTCTTATTTTATGGCATATAAAATGTCGTTATTCTCTGCAGATTTGTCACAGAGGGCCTCATTTTAGTGGTACGAACACATAGTATCACGAATGATACATTTGGTGCATGCTTAACACGGGTATTTGTCTTTGCACTTAAGCAATAGGCTGCGTTTTAACCTCTGTAAGATTTTGAGATCACTTATGTCTGTGTGTGCATCAACATTTTGCTTTGGTTCAATGTTTTTGAAATTTGGTCACACTTTTCCA